CGAATTGAAAGTCCTACCCTTGGCTTGTCCTCTGGACCAGCTACGCTTCAGCATCTCATAAATACCTTGTTCTCGGAACCAAAGTGGAAAACCTACCTAGTATGCCTTGACGACGTCATGTGATTTCCGCAAAATTTGACCACTGGCTTCAACGGTCGCTGGCGGTTTTGCAAGCCATACGAGCCGCATAACTGACGCTCAGGCAGGCAAAGTGTCACTTCTGTTTTAATAACCGCCGTTTTTTGGTCGTGTCGTTACTTACGCAGAAGTTCGTCTAGATCCTGAGAAAGTTGCCGCCGTCACCGAGTTCCCGACATCATAAAATTATTAAAAAACAGTCAGACATTTTCTCATCCTTTAGACGTGTTACCGGCCGTTTATTCCGGATTTTGTACGGGCTGCGTCTTGTTTATCTCGCCTCATGAAGTCTAATTTTTTATTAGTTGGGAGTGACGAACAGGAAAGGAAGCTGATTTCAATGATTTGCAGGAACGTCTACACACTACCCCAGTTCTTGCTCAATTTAAACAGACAGCCCTTACAATGCTGCATAATAACGCCAGCAATGCTAGCCTTGGAGGTGGACTTGTGCAGCGCCAGGATGACGAGGAAACAGTAGTCGTAAAGCAGAACTCTGTCACGCACAGTAGAAATTAATTTGACAATGGAAAAAAAATCCTCGATCACAGTTATGAAGTTATGCTCTTACTTGTATGGCCGCCCATTCAAGGTTATCAATGACACCGTTCGATGTGTTGGTTGACGACTTTAAAAGATTGTTTTGGGCAGTTATCTCGCTCGAGCCTTAGATTACCGGAATTTTATATAAATATAGTGTACAAATCAGAAAAGGAACTAGCCGACGCCGACTCCATGTATCGCTCACCAATAGTGTCGGCTGCTTCTCTTGATGAAGAGAAAGCATTCCTCAGAACCATTGAAACGTCAACGATCGCGGACGAATGACATCACAATCCTGAGCTACTTCGCTTGAATAATTATTTGGAAGAATGAAGGCATAATGCCTCGAAGCGTTTGCAAGAAATTTATCGTCAATTTTGGTTCCGAAACAACCTCAATTGCAAAATGAACATCTCGTCAGATGGGCCCACCTATGGGCTTGCCGTCTTTATCACTCTTTGCTTTAAAGTATTGCGAGCGTGCCGCAACGAGGTCACCTCTGGACAATCAGGCTACCCACGCACACTGAACGGAGTTCGGTAGATGTGTTACTAGCCTAGACACGCCGCTGCCGTCAAACGTCACGTTCACACCTGCCTCGATTGCCAGTCGCGTGAGGTAGCTCCACCGAAACCAGCCTGTTCTTTACACCAAGTCAAGAATCTGCCAACGCCGTTTGACCACATCGAAATCTACCTTCTTGCTCCACAACCTGCCTCTAGTGCTGGTAACCGCTTGGTTATAGTGATGACCAACTACTTTATTCGCTATACTTAGACAATAGCAGTCCAAAGAGGCATAGCAAAAGAGGTCGGCCGATTATTCTAAAAGAACATTGCATTGAGACACAGTGCACTATGGATCGTTAAAGCATATCAAGAAAGCGCATTCACAAAAATTAGGATGAGACTTTTCCTTAAGAAACGTTTGCACAAAACACGGCTAAACAAGAAACCACACGGATTAGCCCATTCAGTCTTCTTCACGGACGAGAAGTAGGGTTGATGTTGAATGCGATGTTGGCATCCGAATGCATAGGCGATGAAACGAGTGCTGACGTGTTCACTCAGCGCGCATAGGAGCCCAGGCAGCTCGCACGTGTGGGAATATGCCTAGATAAAGACCACAAAGCAGGTCGCTATAACCTACGTCATACGCTTGTAACGTGCCTGTTTTTTTCAGGCACAAATTACCACTGCCTTCCATCGGTCACTAACAATGCCTCACAAAAACTAAAAACAATGCAAAAAATATGAAGTTTTCAGTAAAATAACACGACATTTCATATAGGGCATACTGTCTAGATAAATCATCAACGTCTGGGCTCTTTAAGGCCTTTTTAAATCTAAGCTGTCGGTTGAGCACGGTAACTCGTGTTTTAAGTACAGGGTAAGTTCCGAAGTGTCACAGTTCATGTGATAGTAATATTTACATAAACATATAGTAGTATTTGTATGTAGCGGTACCCCGGCAAGATAAATACAACTATGGCTTCTCGCATGATCAATCTCTTACAGTGCCGTAGTTGTACACCTACCAACAGCGCGCAAGTGCATGACCTAAAGCCTTTTTTTTACAACCAACTCAGCGCTATGACGCGCCGCATTCAGACAGCATTTATTAGTTCTTATGTTTGGGAGGAAGACAAGAGCATTTTGCGATGTGCTTGAAACAGAAACGGCACCCACTCTGAAGTTATGATGGTAAATGGAGAGTGCGACGATAATAAACCGCACTCTCGAATGTTGCACTTGCCGATCTTAATAATAAGCATTATCAGCAGACAAAAACCTAATGCTTCCGTACGTTGTTTCAGGCATACGTAAAAATGTCACAGATTTGCCAGAAAGGCGCTGCGATGAACGCGATATCAACAAATCGAAAGGTCTCACGCAGAATGGGAAGCTGATTGAAACATGCCCCGCGTTCCTCAAGCACAAATGATGCACAAAACGTACTCACAGGTATGGATGCACGCAAATAGGCGTCTCATTTGTAACTTTGCTGTACCTGAAAAGCACGCGCTTTTGGCAAATGGAGACTGAAATATTTGCAGTGACCTTTGTGCGTCCCGTAACTACAACAGAATTGTTCCAGGCACGCCCAACGCCATCAAGACCTATCATCCTCCCCACCAGAAGACAAGGGTGCGCGAGAGATCGTCCACTACCCTCATCTCAGTGGGCCAATGTATACACGTGAGAGATGAGTCACCCCACGCTCATTGCGCCATCTTGATGGTAATGCTGAAAACACAATTCTTCCCCGAGATGCTCGTGAGCAGCGGTAAGTGGTCAATATAAGTAGCTTGCCGTTTGAACGGTCGAGGATGTGCTCCGGGGTGGCTTAGTGGTTAAAGCCTCGCTTGATTCTGTGTACCAAGGTGTTTTTTTTCTGGAGTTTTTTTTCTTTCTCGCGTTTTCATATACACAGATACGTATACATATACGGTGCATGACATCGACGCGGACGTCGACGCCGACGCCAGCAGCAAAATACAGCCTAGAGTGTCCATATAATTGTTGTCAGAATAAAACAGTTACACTCGCGCCGACAAGACTGGAGAAAGCCCACTTTGAGAACGTGTATGACGTACGTGCACATAGAAACATGACGTGGCTAGCAGACAACACAAGGAGCAATCCACATTTCACCATTTCGGCCAGTTGCCGCCAGGCGGCGACTATGCTTGATCTCGCGGCCAATGGTGTGACGCAATGCCTCACCGGCGCAACCAGCGTCCGTCAGCACGGCCCAGTCGCAACCGGCGCGAAATGCGACACGCTGCGTTTTGTGCCGATGACATTACCCAGACAGCACTGAGTCTGCCTCTCTTTTTGACGAAGGGACGCCGGACGCGCTCAAACGCGCATGCGTCAAAGCAACACAGCGCGGCGTGCACCTGCAAGTGTAAGGCAGGGAGATCGGGGCCTGGCGTAGCATTGCCGGCAAGATGTGACAAAACGAACGTCGGTGCACACGCACGCTGAGTCAAGTTGGAGTGTATTATTTGGTGCTTTCAGTGAGGCATGTAGCTTACATGACACGCATCTAATAATCATCATGTTTGCACCAGTCACACACCTTCGTCAACCATTCTCGCAACGTAATACGCGCTTGGCATATGTGAAGCTAGCGAAACGGCTGTGAGCGTATCATGAGCGTACGCATGTAGTCATGCTGTTACATGACACGCATCTCATGACTGTCATGCTTGTACTAGTCACATACATTCGTCATCGATTACCGTCCCGTAATACCAAATTTGGTATATGCGAAGCTAGCGAAACGGCCGCGAGCACATCAAGAGTGTGGCATGTAGTCATGTTGTTACATGACACGTACCTCATGAGTTTCATGTTAAAGTTTGTTGCTTGCGTTCACCATGCAGTCACGTCATACCCTACCACTTTTTCAGCGTGTCATGTGAACGAAACCACCGCAAGAGCAGCAAGTCCATGAAGTGTAAATGCCGTGATTCATGACATATATGTCATGATTTTCATGTGATCACTAGCGTCTCTCATAATCATATAGTGGTTTTGGGACGTTCAACCCCACATATCAATCAATCAATTCATGTGATCACTAGATATTTGTGCTCGTCAAACAGTCACGTTATGCCATACCAAGTTTGGTATCCATAGAATAATCAAAACGGCCAGGAGAGCTAAATGTTGCAGGCAGCTAGATAGATAGATAGATAGATAGATAGATAGATAGATAGATAGATAGATAGATAGATAGATAGATAGATAGATAGATAGATAGATAGATAGATACGCCCGAAGTTGCTGAAATTCACAAAGAAAGTCTTCGCATATAAACGCTGCTCAGGAGACACTTCGGCGCTTATCGAGTGCTGTGACGACTCAGTGACGTCACCTATGAGGTCGCCTTGAGTAGTCCCCACTGTATACAAGGTGTCGCGAGCACCGACATGAACTTGGGCACGTAGTACTCATGAAAGCCTACTGCCTGGCAGCTTGTACAAAGCGACTATGTGCACTAATAACTGGATCGGCTATGCTATCAAGGCATGCTGTTTTAGGCAGAGGCAAACGTTGCGCGCCATTTGGGCAGACAACGAAGCCGATGTGAGCTCCGACAGTCTCGTGGAACGGAACATTGACCGACAAAGACGACATGTGTCTGTTCATGTTTTTGTTTTGGCTGCTGCAAAAACGCACTGCTTGTTTTTGGAGTAAACGTCAAGATGTTCTGTTTACGGCGAATTGCTGCAGTATCAACTGGAGTCAATATAAAGGAGGCCATGTATGAAGAAGGCTTGTACGTAATAACAACGATAGGTGTATTAGTAGACGTAATCAAAAGGCAGTTTATTTTCATTGTTGTATCAAGTTAGTTGAAGAAAATATCTTTTTCTGGTATGAAATATATTCACGACACTGACTTTTAATCAAGAAGGTCTTGAGCTGGGTACAAACTTTTAACGTACACATTTTTATAACTTCATCACTCCGCTTTCGAATCAATTAGTGGCGTTTGAGGGTTGTCACACCTGAAATGAATAGAGAAATTCATCGTGAATAGTTAAACATTCACTGCCGAGCATAACTGAGGATCTGACTGTCCATGTAAATGTGGGTGTTTTTGTAACTATCACCACTCCTTGCTGATATTTCTATATTTGTTGAACATTTTCGTGACTCGAAGTTTGTACATATAATATACAGCCGCAAAAGTAATCAAAGGTAGACAAGACAAGATTTTCGACTTCTGCAGTTGTAATATGTAATGCATATGTAATAGTTTGCGAAGAACATTTGTTATTCTGTAATAATTTTTTGCCCAGGTTTTTTTGCTTCAACTACTGCCATGTACGTAAACTTGGGAGTAATGCCACTGTAAATACTCCAGGGTGCGCCATATTTGCCCAAGACAACTTAAAGGTGAACTAAATCCTAATTTTCATCTCACTGAATCTATTGAAGATCTGCCCGCAATACTGCCCTCCAAAACCTTTCTGAACCTAGCGTGGCTTGGCACTGCATCCAGGATTGGAGATATTATTTTATATTTTTTTTCTACTTTGTTCAATCCTGCAGATCTTATACAAGTTCAAGCGGTGGGGAGGAAGAAAAAAGAACAACATGAAAACGAAGCAAACACAGATATAGGTAATCTAATTAGCAAATAAACCAATGTGAAGAAATGCTACAATGAATAGTCTGTTATGGTGCATGGGAAGAAATTTCAATAAATTTGTTCTAGTAAAATAAGGTAGCAAAGCATTAGGATGATGAGGGCAAGTAAGCCTTGATGTTGGAGATGAAAGATAGGGGGTGGGATTAATTGCTAAATTCCTATACCAAAGGAGGTAAAGAAATTTTAAACGTGCAGCTTTCCGTTTCAGTGCAAGGTACAGATTGTTAGCCTGCATTAGCTCAGTGGGTGAGTCATACGCCGAAAATTTGGAATAAAAAAAGCTTGACTGGTTTTCTTTGCACATTCACTAGCTGAGTAATGATGTTTTTAGTAAAAGGGTCCCACATTACACATGCATACTCGTGTTTCAGCCTTATTGATGTGTTATAAACAAGTAATTTTACAAACGAAGGATATTGTGTGAGCTCATGTCTCAGAAAATATAATTAATGGTATGCAGAAAAACGAATGCTATTTATATGTGTATTCCACGAAAGGGTATTAGTATTGTTGCAGTAAAGTAATTGTATACCGTTTTATCATGCAATAGTGCTGAAATTGGCCACTATTTGAAGGAAAGAGGAGCTTTTTGGCGAGAAAAACGAAGATAGACTGTCTTATCAATATTAGGTTGCATGTACCATGTGTTAAACCAATCGGTAATGTTAGCAAGAGGAGAGTTAAGGCAGTTCTGGTCGTTAGGCGTAGTGATTTCAAAAAACAACACGCAGTCATCTGCAACCAATCTAATTTGAACGCTAGGATCAATGACAGTAACGATGTCATTAATGTGCAGCAGAAACAACAATGGTCCTAATAGACTCCCTTGAGTAATCCCAAAGCCAAACGGAAGATAGCCAAATCGCCACTAATCAACTTCTACAAATTGGGATCGATTAGTCAAATAACTTTTAATTCATGTGATCAAAATTTCCGGAAGTAAAATTTTTCGATGTTTTAAAATTAGTTTGTCGTGCAAAACCCTATCAAAGGCTTTGCTGAAGTTTAAAATATTGCAACAGTTTCACAATTTTCTCAAAACACGAAGCAAGTGAGTGGATAACTGTAGTTATTTGGGTAACTGTAGAGTAGAGTTTTCTAAACCCATGTTGACAGATGACCGAATTTTTATGTGAAAATTCATTTATTTGATTGGCGATAATGTGCTCGATAAGTTTACAACATGATGATGTAAGAGATATCGATCAATACTTTTCCAATCAAAAGCCATCATTTTTCTTGTTTATGGGCACGACTCTGGCTACCCTCTAGTAATTCGGTAGTTTACCAGGAAGTAAAAACTTACGGTAAACTATAACAAAAAACTTTGCGATAGACTAAGCATATAGTTTCAGAATCATGTTAGAAAAAATGTCAGGGCCATACGAAGATATATATTTTAAGTTCAGTAGCATAGAAATCACACCCGGGTAAGTTATAAAACTGACATCAGAGGTATGAAAGCTTGTTTCACTGGCTGGACAAACAACAGACTTAGTAAAAACGACCTGGAAGTACTCATTTAAATGACATGTAACGTAACCAGGATCAGTAACGGTTGAACCATTGCTTTACCAGTAGTGATCCCCTGAACACTAAGCCACCTGCCCATTATTAATAAATGTGGACTAAAGGAAATGCGTATAAATGTGTTCTACCGAAAATACAAAAAAACGCCAGGCCAGTCAGAGTGAAGGCCAGAAGAGCGGTCTTTCATATCTTTTTCTCAACACTCACTGGGTGACAACTGCTGCAAACACACTTGCTTGATACCCACTATGGTAATAATATAAAAATTTTTGGTAGTAGGCCAGCATTTACTAATGCTGGTTTTCGTCATTCCTCTTAGAAACGCGGTATTCGCTTAACACTTCCAAGAAACTTTGTGCAAATTGTTCGTGCAGTGGCTATCGACGGCGAGGAATTATACCTGAAGTGGGCATCAGCCACAGTTATTGGTGAAGAAGAACAAGCTTTTGTAATGAGTTGGGGCAGTCGACGTCCCACTCGTTACGCTAGTCGCCTTGTGTGACGACTGCTTGTTGTTTCGCTGTTTGAAAGCGCTTCATTTGTCGTATTTACGCAATTGCTTTACTGACATCAAGCCTGCCTAAGGCAAGTTTACCAGCAGGTTCCGAGCACTGGCGTCGCTCAGTGGTAGAATACTGGACTGACACACAGCGGACCAGGGTTCTGGACCCTCTGTACCATTAGTACTAGAATTTGTTCTCAAAATTTGTGTGATGTAGCAATCTAGGCCGGTGGCTGCGGTGGACAACTGGCACGTGATCCAAGTTGTGATCACATAAGAACTTTTGCAGCAAAAAAGCGTTTGGGAGCCAGTATGCTTGGCTACGGTGGCTGCATTTCCGATGGAGTTGGAAATGTTGTAGGCCCGCGCACTAAGATTTGGGTGCAGTTAAAAAAACCCAGGCGGTCGAAATTTCCGGAGCCCTCCACTTTGGCGTCTTTCACAATCTTATGGTGGTTTTGTGACGTTAAACCGCACATATAAATATATCAGTTAGCCAGTATGCTTGGTGTCGGCGCTTCACTGCGCTATTTCGTATTGATGGACAAAACGCGGGCTGCTAGAAACCACGTTGTGTCCATGTTCGAATTTTGAAGGGGCCTGCAACACTTTTTGAAAATGATAAGAAAACACTGCCAATTGGTAGTGGAGGCTCCCGGCAACACGCGAGCTAAATGATAGAGCGTAGCGCAATAAATGATCACAACAAATTATCAAAATAGGCATTTCAAATTATCAATTTGATAGAGCGTAGCACAATAAATTCCCAATAAATTATTAAAGCCAGCTGAAAATTCCTTTCTTTCCTCATTACAAATCATGGCATATACGCAAAAATTACACGTGGTGAGCCTATCTGTAAGCCATTGCCTGATTTGAACATGGCGCGGCCGCTAGTTTCAGAGATAGCCGCGGGAAGCAGCTACTTGTCCACGCGTGCGCACGTGTGATCACACTAACAAAGCTGCGAATTCTAAGAGAAAAAAAGTGCTCAAGGTCACGAGGCCCTCGTGACGCTTTCCTGTGGCCGTGTCGTCCCTCCCTGCTTAGCTTGCAGTGATTTCGTCAAAAGAGAATGCAATTGCAGCATGCAACAAATCTTTGTAACTCCTCTACCGCTGAACAGAATCTTAAAATTTTTGCGGTGTTGAACTCATGAGGCAATAAGCTCTTCCAGAAATTGAATTTCATGGTTACTTTAAGAAAGGTTTTAGTGCATCTTCAAAGACTTCCAGATGGTTCCTACAACGATAAAACTAAATTTCTAAACTAGGCTTTCATGATCACACCATCGACATTTCATTCTCAAGGCTGGAAAATGCTGTAAACAGCAAGAATCCTCTTCCATTCAATCTGAAAACAGCGTTTCGAGCGTGAACTCTCTAAGTATGAAGAAAAAAAGAGAATCAGCACGCCAGTAACGCTCCGCTGAACTTCGCTTGCTCGCATTTCTCTGGTTAGGAAAGGGCCGCTGAAATCATTGTGGCTATTGGTCCACAATTTTCAACTTCTCCGCACTCTCGTAGTGTGAGCACATGAGCTCAACATTCAACAGATGTGTCTGTTTTAGCAAATAAATAAATATTTAGCAAATTCATGCATTTCCACTCCTCAAGACGTCCTATAGTGCTCGAATGCCTGCATACATCACAACGGCCTATCTTTGGCTACACTTCATGTAACCTTTACGAGAATGTGACGCTGTAAACATACATACTGTATTTGTGGATACGTGGCCGAATTGATTTTCACTTTTCTTAACGTATACGAATACTGAATGCCAAAAGTTAACATTTTAGAGGCACTAACATGTCGGAATCAAGACCTATTTCTGAAATACCGTGGCATTTTTTGTTTGCACACGGAATCGGTAACAACTCACTGACTTTTAGAAAAACCTAGCGCAATAGTTTTGAATTGCAAAGGGAACAATGCGTTTTGTATTCTATGGGGAGGCCAGTGTCCAACGACAAGCACGTGGAAGGTTCTGCCTGCAGAAGTTACAGGATAAGTGGATTTTTGAAATTTTCTTCTAGATCGTTTACACAACTTCCTTTTGACCACAGATTCGGCGTGCTGGTTTTATTTTTCTACATAGTATGCAGCATTTCCACTTTGTAGTACCGTTATATAACAATTTGCCATAGGTTGAGGCCAATTTTTGATAGCGCTATACCTTATAACCTTGGCAATGAGTTTTTCACACACGCACTAATTTGATTTCGCAAAATCACCAGGAAATGAAACATGCATGCATGAAGCGCATAAAACGAAAACTAAACCAATCTATAAATCGGCTCCGTACACTTCTTTGAAAAATTCTGCTTACCATGAAACTATTATGCGCTTCAGACCATCATGACATGAAACATTCGCGCAGGGACACCGGAGTTCCAAAGTTTGCCCTGGCAAAATTGGAACTGCGCCCAGAAGGCAGCCAGCTGTGAAAGTAAAATGCCTGTATTAAAAATACATAAACACGACACGCATGGATATTATCAAAGTAAACAATAGGTTTTATAAGTAAATGTTTATGATTTCATTCTCGCAAGCATATTTTGGGCCACAAAAACTCTATTGCAAAGACACGTAGAAAAACACGGGAGCGGGGAAGTTCTGAAACAATACATCTAATCCAGTTTTGAAAAAAAAGCACCGAAGCTTGATTCGGCACTGAAGCAAGGTTTGTATACCATTGTTACGATATTGAGCATGGTGCTTTTGCAGAGTTTAAAACGATGTGTACAACGTTTGGGCTCATAAAAATAACTTCCCATGTTTCAAGTGTATTCAGCGAAACTTTTTTTTTTTTTCACAGTGACAGTGCTACTTCACGAGCTAAATGTGTGGTGCATCTTCTTCTAACATGGAAGCTGGGCGTTCAAGTATCCAAACCCTTTCAATTGTCATCACGTCTTCTGACCAGATCTAACATACGACTCGCACATTGGCGTGCAATCGAGACCACCAGATACTACAAAGAATCGCGCCACCATCTTCTATGATGAAACATAAAGAACACTGACATTAGGCCTTGAGCCCGCGCGTCTTCGCTGCGTGTCTTATATTACAACTGATTTGCTTTGCTTAACTCTCGTAGCCGACGAAAGACTATTAACTTCACCCTTTTAGATGTTACACTTTCTGGAGTCTCTATCACAAGGTCGTGTTATGGTTTGGCAACTCCGTTTTTTTTTGGTCTAACCGCATGCCTAATGTACATCATGAAATATCTTTGAAAAGAACTCTGCGTCAATGAAAACAAACAAACCACCGTTGGAACTGAGCTGCCACACAAGGTCAGCTTGTTATCGCCACAAACTTTCATTTTTTTTCACTTGCCAAAATTATGCATCGCAGAGTTCTGCAGCAACCGTACTGTGCGTGTTTTTCGCCATGAATTGAGCCCCAACCTGCTTATGTGAAAAGCGTAGCGCAGCATTTCGATGGGGGTGGCTATTGTGCCAGGTTTTATCACACTAAAAACTACGCCATGTCATTTATTTGGCAGTTACAGGTACAAATTATATATAACATAATTATTAGCAGGGCAGTAACCATGATTCGTATCGAGGAAATAGAACGGAGCTGTATATTATGAGTATACAGTAAGGAACCAAACGAAACATCTGTGAATCAACTTGCAAAAAAACTTGTCTTTTTATGAAAACTTGTATATTATTTATTGTAACAAAGGAACACTACATTGCCTTCCCTATTCACCATCTATGGTGCAGTGCGCTATACCATATAAGTTTAACGAGAGGTTGCCTGCTACGTATGGCTCCAGGTGCTCCTGTCCTTTTGCATGGGACTCGAGTGTTGATGTTAACCATAAGAATAAAATAGAGCGAAATTGACAACATGACAACGTCCACTCACAAAAGAAGTTCACACGTCATAAACATCCGGTTGTAATGGTGCGTTCACGTACTTTTATTCCTGCTGTAAAAACTCCCGAACTTTGATTTCCAGGAGCAAACATTTCGCAGTCTGTACCAATGGTGTCTTCATTACTTCCTCAACCTATTTCTCCCTTTTCGCCCCTAGTGTAACCCTCGCTTGAATTTCTGAATTGACTAGGTTTCATGAACGTCCTACTGAGATTGTGCTGGCATAGATTGCCAGAAGTACTGCAACACGACATTTTAGCTTTTAGTGTACCTAAAACGGTTCGCAAATTCTAGAGATGACGGCGCCATGCCTGTTCGACGATGGTGAGCAAATGCAATGTTGGCTCTGAAGTGAGAGTTTGAGTCTCATTCACACCATTGTGATCCAATACCAACAATGTGTAAAAAACCGCCAGGCTTGCGCGAAACGCGTGGCCCAGTCAGAGCAAAAGCTGGAAGAGCTGTCTTTCAGAGCCTTTTCTAAACACTCTCTAGGTAACTACTACAAGCTCACTTGCTTGGTACGAAGTACGCCATGAATAATCATAATTTCTGTGTAGTACGCCAGCATTCACTATGCTATCCTTCATCCTTCTTCGGAAAAGCGTCGTATTCACGACACACTTGCAAGGAAAAACGAAGTTCGTAATAAGTTGTAAAATTAGACTACCCACTCGTTACGCCATTCCTCTTGTACTCAATTTTCCCTTCGGTGTTGTAAAATGTTTTATTACTTATAATGCCGCGATTTTTTTGCCGTTTACAGGTCTGCCTAAGACCTCTTTTGAAACCAGTTGCAAGCACCGGCGTGGCTCAGTGGTAGAATACTGGGCTGGCTCACAGTGGACTCGGGTTCAAATTCACTTGCGCCCTTGTGTTTTTATTTACGTGTTTATTCTTCTTAATTCTTTGGATACTGGTTTCGGACACCTGCAGTGGCAGCGGACAACTACGGTGCCGCACGTGGCCTGTGCTTTGATCACATAACAGCTTTCGCTGTAAGAGAAGGAATATGTCCACACTACGTCACGTTTGAACGCGTGGGTGCCGTACATGAAAGCTGTGGGTATATTTGTAAGCAAACTATTCTTCATGCAGCATGAGAGACCTAGGAGATAGGCTTGTGTAACCTAACTGTTCAAACATATGATAAACTGATTAAGGGGCAGCTCTCGGCAAAGAGCATCTGCATAGCAGTTTCCGAATTTATCGTAGACAAAAGGTTTGCTTGTCAGATTTCTTGGCTTTTTAAATTGTAGTTCTTTGAAATCACCATTTATTTGTTCGTTAAAATATTAGGTATTTACCTATTTTATTCGTAGCTCACCTTATGATTGTCTACTTTCAAATTCCCTAGATGGCTTAAATAATTATTTTACTTCATCAAACTTTGAAATTTTTTCGCCATTACACTAGCAGTTGGTTTAATGACCAATCCCCTGTGTGGCTACGATGCAAATCATACATAACAAGCAAGCAAGCAAGCATGCAGGCAAGATTTCGGCAAAAGAATCGTGGAAGTGAAAATTTTCAGCTTGGGCAGAAGGAGACTCTCCTATTCTTGCAACGTACCGTTCAAAATGTGTATTCTTATGTTTCTGTAAACTATGGCTCACAGAAACATATGCAATACGAAAAAAGTGTTCTTTCTTACTTTTTCCGATCAAAAGAGTCTTTTTATCGCAGCCATTGACATTCTGAAGCATCAGTATCATGGCCAACGCTACAATGGCAAACACGCAGCCCTTCATTCTATTTGCTGTCAAGTGTTCGGTTTATATCCTGTAAAGAAGACATATACACGTATATGCCAACTTAAAAAATCATTGCAGAAGGTGACACATCCTGGGCTCATATTTAGGGTTAGCAATAATGACGTCTCCAGAATGACTATAACCTACAACTCTGACAAATTAGAGAAAATTATTATTCATTTGTTGTCACATAGGTTTCAGATGCGTGTAATTTTTGATGCTATGAAAACTAGTATAACAATATGATGAAAATATTTAACAATGTGATTAAAAGAGCGACTTGCCAGATAACCATAGGACACAAGCAAATCACCAAAACGAAAGCGAGAGAGCCAGCTTAGAAACGAGTAGCTATACAACTTTCAACTTTGACTTTCAAGGAAACCCTTTACGGCGGTTCAGTAGTTACGGTGCTCGAGTGCTAGCACGAAGACTATGGCATCAAATCCCGGTCGTCGGCGCCACATTACCACGAAGACAAAATGATACAGAACCACCTACTTTTATTTAGAAGCGGGTTAAATAACAAATCGTAAAAATTTCCCTAGTCCTCCACCAGAGCAACTCTTATAATTTCGTTACTAAAGTTACACACAGCGCGGTTCCTAAAGTATGAAGAGAGTGGTCAAAAATATTATGTTGAAAGTTTATTTTATTAGTTTACAAGTTACCGTTCTTCAATTTACGCATGTAAAATATAAAAACCTTAGACAACTGGCTCCTTACATGCACAATTATTTATGTTTTTTCAGTTAACGCTTATCACTGCGCAGCAATGGTTATCATCCTATCGCTCAATGTGAAATTAGCTTGTTTCATTTTGTGAATCTATCTTCTTAAGCTAATTGTAACAGGGACTGCTTTCGCAATCTTTATAACTTTGCCTACTTTATAACTACGGCACCCATGTTGATTACATAAGAAATAAGAACGTGACAACGGCACATAAGGGGCCTAACCATATCATGTGCTGAACGAATTGTAGTTTAGCAACGGGTGTGCTTTCCACAATCACTTACCATGAGTTCATTTTTTATGAAAGTTATTTTTTACCTAACATCCAGGGCTAATGATTGCGTTTCCGTCAAAACGTACTGTAAGTTTTGCTGTATAGCTTTTGCTGCGTTAATTCACACACCTCAGTTAGGCCCTCAACCAAGAAATGGTGAAAAAGAAAATGACATCAGGCAGTGATGAACGCGAGCTGTGAACAGTGAACCAACACAGCGGAAGCACGTCCATTGCCTGGCGTAAAGAGCATAATCCACGGGGAAACTATAATTCCTTTTCTGTGTACGTCATTCATAAATGTAATGCAAAGGCTCTCAAATGAAGAACATATTTATGTATTGAAACACACTCCTCTTTATTATATAGACTACAACAGGGAACAGAAAAAATAAATTAACAATGTGCAACATCTTACTTATTTAAACTCCACACACGTCAGTGAAACTGACGTTAAATTGGGTCTACAATAGTTTGTTTGCACAAATGCTTGAACATCTATAGGTTCAATTGCTACTGCCGAAAACCCTTCTCAAACGCTATCGCTTTGAAAGGTTATCTTTTTCAAGCTATCTTAACAAAAAAACACTTTCAGCATGAAAGAAAATTGAGTTTTGACGATACAGTTTGCAAAACTTGCATAACTGGTAGGCGGCTCACGCAGCACAGCTGCGCTTTGTTGTCAAATGTGAGAATTCTGTCGCGATGAGCAGAAATGCGACTAAAGCAATTTTAGAGCCATTTTACGTCAAAAAAGGTAGCTTGAGCATCGGTTTTCCGTTTGGTGTTGCCTTAGCAGAGGCTTCTGCAAGGTCTGCGAACAGGAAATAGTCTTAGTTTCTCACAGGAAGTAACCGTCCCTGGGGTTAGTGCACAAGTGCCGAGAAGCGTACCACAGAAACGAGCCGCTACTATTTTCTACAGCCAAATAATATACGTGGCACTCTCGTCAGAGTCTGCGTGGTGCTGCTCAGTCATGAAACTGGTTTATCATGCAATCCAGCTGTGCTGAAATGATGTTCTAAAGCAGGCTACAAAAAAGCTATGAGAATGAAGCTTCGTTTCAGTCGACTACGTTGCAGTATTGTTACGTAACTACACTGCGTTTTCGTGGCAGCGCCATGGTGGTTCAATGATGGCCAATAAGACGACGCCGCCAAGAAGGGGAAGTTATTGTTTCATGAGGGTGAATATGTGGTTCCTATGGTGATTTTATTCTAGGCTTAATAATCAAAGAAGCTTGGAGATCATTCCCTAGCAGGAATGCTGGCTGTGCACTGGGAGTAAAACGTTTGGGCTCCTTGACACCTCAAAGCGTGTTTCACCAGTTGTTCGCCACTTTGCCAATGTAAGCAAAAAGAAATAAAACAAACAAATAAGAGTTCTAGAGTCTGCCTGTTCAAAAAAATATATGGCGTTCCTTTCGCAAATGAAACAATCGCCCAATGCGAAACCTTAATGTTTTTTTTTCTTTTTTTCTTTTTTATTTACTTGATGCCACTGCCCATGCCGTCAGCGTCCTTATCGTAGGTCTGGCTTAAACTGTGTAGAGCTAATAAAGCCGTCTGCAAGCGAATGTGCGAAATGCCTTATTTGTTAACTTCTTGTGCACTATTATTATTTATGGGGTATAGATCGAATGACACTTGATTCCTTGCGAAAGAAATACACTCAATACATCTTTGGAATAAGGCAAAAAAAATTACATGCGCCCAATCAAGAGGAACCCTAGGTAGGCGAAACAATCGGCAGAAATATGGCGAAAAAATCTATCTGAAATCAGCATTACAAAAATTCGTCCAAGAAAAACGCATCATATACTTACCTCCAATTGCTTTACGAGTGCGGAAAGCTGTGTGTGTAACAATTTTTCGTGCTCGCTATTTATTGCTTAGTTGTGGTGGTTGAAGTCACAATGGAAAATATAACTTAATGACCATTGCATGCTTCAGTAATGAATGCAATAAATGGCTGAGTAAAATATCACAAATTAATCTTCCCTAATTATGAAATGCGCAATGTCAGGCAAGTATCACGTCTGCAAGAAATAACGATCATCTATGGTAGAGGGAAGAAAAAATGATATCAATACACTTTAGAAGCGTATGATAATGATGTCGCGCTACGTATTAAATGTCTATGAGTGATTGCGAGTTGTGTGAGCTATAACCTTGCGTTATTGAAATATATATGAGGAAACAAAATACCTTCAGTATTACAAGATTGTGCCTCTTAAAAGCTACTAAATCGTTTTGTGAGTGATCTTTAGCAGTGTAATTCTGGTAATAAGATCGTGATACAATTATAAGCAATAACTTCCGGTATGTGGTTGACTATAACAAAAACAAATTGACCAGATCCCCGATAAAATAGAAATCAAGGTTATGAAAAGGATTCCGAGGAAAGGTGCCTGTTGTACCAAGCAAAAGATACGAACTATTGAACAGATGCAAGTTGAACAATCTCTTACGTTTTATAAAGTCAGTTTTACACTTGTTTATGCCGAATTGTACTCGTCAAGAGGGAGCAACTTTTCTTACTCCATGGCCGAGATTCTACAGTAGGATGGTATACTTCGGAAAAAGCGTTTTCCACCGGCAAATTTGGAGCGACCCACTGCGCGACGGAGGGTTCCGCGTGCTTCGTCTAAGAAAGACGGAATTCGCCGGAACTCCGAATATGCGTTGTCATTTGCGGTGTGATAGGGGAGCTAGGGTTCTCCAGATTTTCTTAGGTGGTGTCTAGTACACTCTGTGCATGTGTTCACATTCCTAAAATGGCGTTGTTTGGCTGGTGACGTGGTGCTGGTTTGCTTCTCGCTTTGAGCAACATCGAGGGCACTAGTTCTGATAGTAGTAGCCGCAGTTAAGTCGACGAGTCAAGCATGCTATAAGAAAGGACGTACAAGAAAATCGTGTCTAGCCTGCCACGTGCAAGGCCAAAAAGAATCACCTACACCAAGGAAGCTTCCTGTACCCATTTATTAACGTATGCGTAAACAACTTCCGCCGTGTCCTCACGCGGGTTATTCACTTGTTGCACTCGCTGATCTGGCTTGCTGCAGCCCGAGTGCTCACTTCAGGATTTCGGTGGCGGCTCCAGATATGCCAGTGGAATTCGCCTTTGAAGACGCCAACCTCAACAAGAATATAAGCAAGATCAGAAGGAGCAAGGTGGTATGCAACGCTTGTGCTAGCGAGGACTCTAGGGCTCGACACTTCTACAGAAATGAAATTCTTTGAATGATGGTTACCAACAATTTACGTCGACCTGAAGTGACGGCTGCATCATAAGAACACATACATAAAGTTTATAACAATTGTTAGTCAGCATTGAAACAGCAATTGACGTAGCGTACACATCACGTTTGATTAGTGCATTTTTTCAAAGCAGTGTCGACATCAGGCGTGGCTGAGTTATAGCATACTTGATTGGCACGGAGAATGCTCTGGTTAAAATCCAGCTGGGGCAGTGATATTAAATGCGGAGTATTTCTTAGCAAACTACGGCGACTTTGAGCATTCCTATCTATCTATCTATCTATCTATCTATCTATCTATCTATCTATCTATCTATCTATCTATCTATCTATCTATCTATCTATCTATCTATCTATCTATCTATCTATCTATCTATCTATCTATCTATCTATCTATCTATCTATCTATTTACTCTCCTGGTCGTCTTGATAATGGTATGAATATCAAACTTGGTATGGCATAACATGATTGTATAACGAGCATAACCGATTAGTCATAACATCAAATATATTGTACGTATGTCATGAATGTCATGATAAACATTTCATGTTCTAGCTGCTTATGCGATTGTTTGATTCTCATGACATTTTGCACATTAGGCACGGTATGACATGACAGCATGGCTAACAAAAGTAACGAACTCTAACGTGGAAACCATAAAATGCATGACAATAATTTCGTGTTATGACTAGTCACGACTACACGCCACGCTCATGGTGTGCTCACGGTCGTTTCGCTAGCTTCACATATATCAACTTTGGTAATATGGGACGTGATGAATGACGATGGTACATGACTAGGGCAAAAATGATAAAATGGGTGTCATGTGAGAACAAGGCTATATTTAGCGCTCATGATGCACTTGTGGCTCTTTCGCTAGCTCAACATATAGCAACTTGGATCTTACGTTGCTTAAATAGACCACGAAGGTAAATAATACGCCCAAACATAATATTGATTATGTGCGTTTCATGAAAACATGAATACCGGCTACGCTCATAGCGTGCTCGCAGTGGTTTTGCTAGCTCCACATATACCAAGTATGGTATCACGTGACGTGAGTACACGGCGTAGGTGAATGAGGCGTCTCAACTTAATAATTACAATATGCGTGTCATCTGAAATATGAATACATGCTACGCTCATAGACTGCTCGCGGACGTTTCGCTGGCTCCCCTTATACCAAATTTGGTATCAGGTGACGTGGATAAACGCGAAAGTAAATGACACGTCCAAATGAAATGATCAGGACATGTGTGCGATGTAAAAAATACTACATGCTGGGCTCATAGCGTACACGCGGACGTTTTGCTAGCTCCACACATTACGTCACGTGATACTAAATTTGGTATCACGTGACGTGAATAGACGACGAAGGTAAATGACACATCGGAGCTGGATAATATTGGCAAGGAAGTCATCTATGGCATAATTTCTGTCCGCCTCGTAATGTTTGACTGATTTTAAAGTCACATATCAACTTTCCTTATTTGTGCTTCACTTATCCTCGATTCTCACTCTACCAGAGATCTGCCAATTTTAGTGATTATAGCTGCTCTGCCGAAATTGTGTTTCATTAAGGAAGCATGCAGTTGAACTCGTGAGTTGAGGGTAATAGTAACACTGAAGTGTGCGCTGGTTCCATAAATGGGGGCAGATAGAAAACGTGAAGAATAGGAACGACGAATATTTTCCCAAATAGCAGCGTAACTAAGATGTGAGATCACTTGGTATTCCAAGAACAATCTTTGACACCTGTGCATCTTTATTTTCCGAAGCGTAGCGTGAGGAAAACGGCGTACAATAAAGACACACAGTACACACTAAACATTTCAGCACAAGAACATAGCAAAGAACGCAAGTAGCAACACAAACATTGCTAGCGCCTTTCTAGTGTGTGCCTTAATGTGTGCCGTTTTTCTCGCACTACACTTCAATTTGAAGATATTGCACATACTCTGATCTTTTCACTTCATTAGGAAGTGTATGGGCACCTTGTGATTAGAACAGTTATAAAGAGCAGACTACATGCATAATAGCGCTTTGTAGCTGCTATTTGTCAATGACTACCCAACTTTCTTCTACTCTCTTCTGCATAATGTACGCCTGAAATTAGCTCAAATAAATATATCACAAGTTTTTCTTTGAATATAGGTCTGGACGTATAAATCAATGTGCTCTCTTTCGTTATTTGTTAGGACCGTGCATCAGTGATATTGGGGCATTTTAAGATGCAAAATTAGCATCTTGCACAATAGGTGTTTTTTACTAAGAAAACATGTCGATGTGAGTTCCAGTTTTCTATAGATAATTTCCCAAGTTTCTTTGCTGGAGGCGGCTTTTTTATTACGTCCTGGCTTCAAACAACAACAGTGTCATAATATACCGCAGAAATCACATCACGGTGAGCTCACATGTCGTTGGAGAACACATGACGTATTTCTGAAGTGGTTGTATTCCGTAACATGCAGGTAAATGTGGGCACACTTGTGTTTCCGGATTTTCAGTGCCACCGAAAGTCAGTCGCTATTGCTGACCATAAAACCCGTGTTACCAAGTAATGAACCTGAAGATAACTATGAGCTGTGCTGCAAAGGAAGTAGAAAGACGGTAGTCTTGTGTCTTGACGTGTTGTGTAAGATATGGCACCATCTGGAAGTAATAAGAAGCGTGGTGGTGGAATAAACGATGTTTTTTTTTTAGAAAGCGGAGCCACTGGTATGTGGCAACGCGTCGTTTCAGGTAAAGCCTCTGAATTTTCCAGCAAAATGTACACTCTTAAAAAATAGAATGGCGTGCTCTTCACTTAGGCAGAAACGACGATATCCACAATATTCGTCTTAAATAGAGAAACCTTGCTCCTTTTGCCACCGAGAAACATGTTTCTCCTTATGAGAACCAAGATGGCTGACCCCAGATTAGCGAAGCGAGTAGGCTTAGCAAATGCATCGATTTTTTACTAAAAAGGAGTGCACGGCACTCACAGTTTCAAAAAATGATCACACTGAGGTTGATATCAAACGAAATGATTTTAAAAAACAAGCAGACAAATCAGTGGTGATAACGACGTCGTGAAACAGAACAACGGAGCTAGTAGGTTTTGTTCAGCTAGCGAGATGACGTTCCCCCTTTGAAAGACACAGATACTGCGAATTGCTCAGCCGAAGAGCGCATGCTAGGCTTGCTGTATTTATTTTTCGCAGATTCACATAGTGTAGTGACGTTATCCACGCGTTTACGAGGTCACAGGTCACGAGAGGTGCCTCCAAACAGTATACTCGATCGCAACGAAACCATTCCGACTCAGTAGTGCAGTTTTGATAGAAAGATGTTCATGTTATATATGTAGCTGAAAGTGTGAGAGCGGCATATCCGTGAAGTAGGTGGAAGCTGGCGCCATCTGGAGGGATTCAACGATACTAAAAAAAGATAAAGCTGCCTGCGGCGGCGTACGTCGTCATACCCACCAGCACGGATCCCTATCGGATGGTTGGCGAGTCATTCATGGATTACTCATTGACACCGAACGCTTAATATAGTCAGCTGTATTGCATATAGCTACACAAGCACACAAGGACACATAATAAACATGTAGAGTGAACTCAATGAACAAGAGTACAATCAACAATCCTTCACAGTAGCAGACACTTTGACGTGTTTCCTCACAC